TCCTTTGTCTTTCACTGGCATTTTCCTGTCTACTTTGGGGAGGACCTGAAGTGGCACAGTGATTCTGGTCGATGCCCCAGAAACACAGGGCTCAGACGCTGGCTTTGGCAGCCTTCCAGAAATGAGGCTCAGCTTCTCATTACAATGTGAATGAGTGTCTAAGTGTAAGAAGGGTTTGTTCTAGGATTAGAGTGATAGCAGAGCCCTGACTTTCCCAGGGCAAGCCTCTATTATTGTGCTGATTGATGATGCCAGTGTTACCACTTTGCCCATCTCTCCCTCTGAAGTCAGGCTGCATCTAACTTGCCCCCTCTTTCCCTAGGAATTTCATAGTCCTGGTTTATAGCAAGTGAACTGACTTATTATATAGGGAGGAGGGCACAAGGTAGTACTAGGCCCCTTAACACTTGATGATTGGTCATCCTTACCTAGCCAGTCTCAAGTACAAGGAGATTGTATGGGAGTGACATATATGTTGAGCAGAGCTCATCAAGCAACATGTGGAGACCAGCTCCCACACGCAGCAGGTCTGTGGACAGTGCACTATAGCATCCTGTGCAGACTGTGGGTCAAGAGTCTTGACTAAAGGTCATGTGACACAATTCCTAGTCTCATGATCTCTGCAGAAGGCTACTTATTAAGCACTTTCCCCAAACTCCTCTTTCTGGACCCCTGGTCCAGGCATAGAGGCTGTGGGTACATTGGGTTAGAGTTAGTTAGGAAAAGCTTCCTGAAAGCAGATGTGCAGTCAAGATTTGAAAACTTTCAGCATAGAGAGATAAAGTGAGATGTCGAAGAACAGTAAATGCTGCTTGTTTGCAGCAGAGTGAATCTTGAGGGTGGAGAAATCATAATATCAAAGGAAAGTATGTGGAAATAGTGAGGTAGGTGGCCATTGATGAAATAGCAATTTACATGCAATAATAGCAAGTTAAGTGTTTTGAATCTGAGGGAACAGAGAATACAGAATCTGGGAGTTTCAGGGCATGGGACTGTTGTGATGAAATTGGGGTTTAAGTCATGAAGAGTTTGTCTCTTTGCCTAAGTAGACTAAGGTGTCAGAAAGGTCTTGCAATTCAAATAGAGGTGAGTGGGCCTAGAAGTGTGAAAGGGCACAAGTGAAGACTACGTCATCTTCCTACAGGTCAAATTGAAGATCTCATGATTTCCTCTTCCCTCTTCTTATTTTGGACATTGAATAAGGAAGACAGCAGAGGAACTGGTGTCTTTGGATTGTGGTTTTGGAGAAGAGTGCTGGGTATTTTGGACTGCCAAAAGAGTAATCTGTCTTGGAGAACGGGTGACTAGGATGCTTCTTAAAGGCAAAGATAGTGGAACTTTGACTCATGTACTTTGGACAAATTGTCAGGAGGGGTTTGTCCTTGGGAAAGGACATCATGCTGGGGAAGGTGGAAGGTCAGAGAAAGAGATCTTCCACAAGGTGTACCGCAGAGTTTAGGCTGGAGCATATCAGAGATCATAACGCTGGTGCAGGTTAAGGCAAGGTTCAGATTACTTGTTCTGAGAGCTGCTGAATTGTAGTTGACTCGAGACTGCTAAGAGAACCAACAGGCCTGTCTGTCCTGGATAAGGTGAAACCCAGCTGCTCCTTGGAGGCAAGGATTTTGAAGCTCCCTCTCACATATTTTGGGCATGTTGCCAGGGGGCACCAGTCCTTGGAGGACATCATGCGTGGGAGGGAGGATGGACAGCACAAGAAAGGAAGAACCTGTATGAGGTGGATTGACTCAGTGACTGGCGTAATGAGGGTAGGCGTATTAGAGACAATGATGTTAGCTCAAGATAGGGCCACGTTCAGAGCTATTGTCCATAGGATCAATATGAGGCACAGGGGACTCAATGGCACACAACAACAACAACTCAATTAGGATTCCTAGCTGGTGCAAAAGTTCAATGTTCTAAGCTGCTAACCAAGAAGCTGAAAGTTCAAGTGCACACAGAGGAGCCTTAGAAGAAAAGTCTAAAGACCCTATTTCCACAGTTGCACTCACACACATGAAATTGTCATGGGTCAAAGTCAAGTCCACAGGAACTTCTTTTACTTCTCATTAAACTTGTGGTGGGGTCCAGCAGTAACAGGAAATTATCTATGAGAAACTTACAATCTAAACGTGTCAAGGTCATGTTGGAGTCTTCCTCCCAATCAGACAAATGACCCAACACCCTCCTCAAAGGAAACGAATAGACACTGTGGTTAACTGATGTTTGAATATTTATTTTTTTTCTTCTTAAAAATGTACAAAAAATAAAATAACTATTTATAGATTCCCCCTCTCCCATTTACAAAACAATTAACGTACATTTACCTTTTTCTGTTAACATTGAGAGCATATTGAACATGTATCAATCTCTCTTATCTTTAAGAAAGGGCTATTTGTAGAATTTGGCACAAACTCTCTACTTCTCTTGCATTTCCATGATTTTAAATAAGAAGGAGAAGAAACTTGATCATTCTGAGCTTTCTATGTCTCCAGTCTGGGACATACCTTCATCTTTTAGGAACTATGTTCAAATAATATTTGATTGCATTATTTGGTTGGTCCCAATTTCCAAACATTTGTGAAGTTAGAATACATAGGAAAAAAACGCTTCTGTCTCCCCCCATCATCGTCCATTGATGGGAAAATTTATTTATTGAGAATAATTAACTGAGAGGACCATTAAGGAAGATTGAACAGCTTTTCCTGTCTTTTTGGAGTGTTTCTGCTGAGGGATTTTTACACAACAGGATTTGTCAAAGCTCAGCTGATATACACTGGATATGACCCATTAAAGCTAAGCCATGGAAGCTCCAAGGAAATGGGGAACTGTTAGACTGTAACAATGGGGGGACCCAATAGAAGGTGACACACAGCACCAACCCTTGGTGACCTCATACACTTTGTTCTGGTAATGGTTACCACAGTGACTGCTCAGGACCTTAGGACAAACACAAACGCTTCTCTGATTTGTCCTGCCTTACGGCAGACCTAGCTAACTTTTCCCAGGATGCAGAGAGAGAAGGATGGGTAGCCTGCATTAGGCTATGGGAATATCCTGTTTGGAACTCCCTTACTCTAGAGTGCTATGCTCCACCCCAATCATACTGGTCATTGCATCCAACAACCAAATTTGAAGCCATGTTCAACCCAAGAAGTATGGGAAGTGTGTAGTACATCATGACATTTCAACACTGATTTTTTTCATCTTGAAAACAGCCCCATTCATACCGAAGATGGTACTCACACCACCAGTCCAGGAAAAGTGGTCACCAGTGGAGGAAGGGACAGAGCTGGAACAGAGTGGGATCCCAGAAGCAAATTCTTGGCCCCACAGAAAGGGGTAACATATCCAGAGAAGTAATTGAAAGTTGACCCCTCACCTTCACAGGAGATGCTGGGTGTAGCAGCTGCCGGTTCTGGTCCAAGGCATATCAGGGATAGACTGCTGGGCTGGCAGCAGCCCCCTGCCCCCTGCTCTGGGCCTCAGGACAGATGAAGTGGAGGGCCAGGGAGCCTGGGTGGGGGCCTTCAGGCAAGACATCAAAGTGCTTTATAAACCTGGACCTTTGTATAGGACCTGCCCTAGACCAGAGCTTAGGATGGGAGGATGTGTCAGGCTACCACAAAAGCTAGTGTTTCAGTCCTCAAGGATACAGGCAAACCCCTCGGCCACCGATCTGCACTCTCTAAGAGAACAGTGGTCCCCCATAATCATGACTATGTTTATTTACGAGGCTTGTTCTCTCAGCTGGGTGGCAGGAATGCAGGCATTAATGCTCCCAGGCACCTCCAGAGGCTGGCGGTAGAAGTGAAGGGTACCCAGGCACCTTCTCACCTACTCACTCACTTCCCCAGCCCACCAAGGAACAGCTAATCTTTTATCTCATGGTGCTTCAGGCAGGGGAGGCCCCAGAGAAAGCTGTGGCCTGCCGGATGCCGCTGAACCACTGACGCTGCTCTGAGAACTGCAGTCGGTCTAAAGGAGCCACTTGAGATGAAGGACGCGCTTGTAAACTTTTAGGCGCTACACCATGTCCATGATTCCCATCATTGCCCTCGCTAGTCCCAGCCACGGGGGCCCAGAGGCCAAAGCCCTGCACAGTTCTCACCAACAGGCCCACATTAATCCTGGCACCCAGCCCTGGAGAAAAAGCTAGAACATCAGGCAAAATGACCTTCCTCAGAGACAGCGCAAAGCAGGAGTCAAGCAAAGCACCTCACCAAGGAATAAATGTAGTGGCCTTGAGGGTAAGTCATGGTCACAATGTAGGAAAGGGGCTTCTTCTGAGGGCAAGAAATGTATCCCAGCCCAGACCTCCTCAACAGTCTATCTTGACACCCGCCAGTCCCTTGGTGCCTCGAAAGCCACTTCCCTAGCCCAGGACATCCCCCAAACAGGCAGAGGCTGCAAATCAAGTCTCAAGGCATGTACCTCCCCTAGGACTATGGCGGTAAACATGCCCACGTACCACAGGTAAAATATATTATTGCAATATTATAAACATTATGTACATGACCATCAGGACTACTTTCTTTGTCACCTATTAATTACATTATAGCAGAATGTCTTCCTGTACAAGTCCTTGTGGCCACTCGCTGGGAACCCTGGAGGTATTCAGCAAGATGACTGTCCCCAGAGCAACCTGAAGGGTTCTGACCAGCAGAGGGACATCACCTCTCACCTGAACCGGCGTCTACCGCACCTGGAAGTAGCTTGCTTGGCCCAGCCACTCGAGACGTGGGCAAGTGAGAAAGAAGTAGAATGTTTCAGGCCCTCCAAGGTACTTGATTTGCTGTGTTTCTCTTGAAGGGAGGACTCTGAGTGGTGTCATCTGAAGCCGGCAGACAGCTGCAGAGCCCTGGAACCAGGCTCTGGGGAAAGGTGGGCAATAAATAAGGATCTGACAGCTCCAAGCACTCGCCTGAGGGGTTCAGGCTTCACTCCCTGGGATGCCCCCTGGTGGATAGGACGATAGACCTTGAGGCTTTGTTCTCTGCCCCCTGTGCCCAAAGCAGTCTTGTAACAGCAGTTGTAAGATTGATGAGTTGGATCTGCAGATTTGGGATCGGGGCTTCTGTCTCTCCCAGGGACGAGGGTTCTGAGAGCACCTACTGAAGGACTTGAGAGGACCAGGGTTCAGATTTCCATGAGCGTGATCTTAAAGCCTTCCACCATGCTCTCCATGTTGAGGATGAAAGTGTCCTCGTTTGAGTAGTGCTCAATGATGTTGTCATCCATGTTCACCAAGATGCTGTCATCACAGGAAGAGAGGGCAAAAGACAAAGACACTGTTGAAAATGAGCCCAATCCAGGATCACATACACACACACATACACACACACACACACACACACACACAGAGAGAGAGAGAGAGAGAGAGACGGAGAGAGAGATGGAGAGAGGGAGAGAAAGAGGGGGGAGAGAGAGAGAAAGAGCAGCTGGCTGAGCCATTCCTTGGTAATGGAGGCTGGAAGGGGTGGAGAGAGGAGACACAGCAGTATGAGAAGAGCTTGAGGCTGGTTTCTTTCCACAGAAAACAGCTTCAGGTAAGCAGAGTGATTTCTTACAAAACCTCCCTTTCTTAGAACTAACTTCATTGCTGAAAACTTTCGCCTGACTTCAGAGCAACCTAACTTGTTTTACATGGAGACGAGATTGAAGTTGTTAACAATTACAGCTTGCTCAGCTCCACAATCAACACTCTTGGCACCAGGAGTCAGGAAATCAAAAGACAAATTACATTGGGAGAGTCTCCTGTCAGGGACATCTCTAGAGTACTGAAAAGCAACGATGTCAGTCTAGAGACTAAGGTGCACCTAATCCAGGCCATGACAATTGCATCGACTTGCTATGCATCAAAGAGCTGGACAATGACTAATGACAACAGAAGAATCAATGCCTTTGAGTTGTGGTGCTGGAGAAGAGTCTTGAACATACCACAGTCCACCAAGAGAACAAATAGGTCTGTCTTGGAAAGAGTGAAACCACATTTCTCCTTGGAGGCTAGGATTTTGAAGCTCTGTCTCACATACTTGGGGCATGTGGCCAGGAGGGACCAATCCTTGGAGAAGGACATCATGCTCAGAAGGGTTGAGAGACAGCACAAGAGAGGAAGACCCCGGATGAGATGGATTGATATAGTATCTGGGGCAGTGTTGGTTGGTGAGACTGGCTCAGGACAGGGCAGGCTTCATAGGGTTGCTATGGGTCAATGGCACATAACAACAAGAAGAAGGAGCCTAGTGGCAAGGAGCTGTGCTGCAATCCTAAAGACACACAGTTCGAGGCCACCAGCCATTCCATGGGAGAAGGATGAACAATCTCCTCCTGTCCTTAACTGTCTCTGAAAACCCGCTGGAGGGTCAGCTATGGGTCAGTTCCAACTCTATGGTACACAACAGCAAGGTGTAGCCTTCAGAGAGCTGCACTGCCAGCTGAAAGGTCAGACCTCACTGGGAGTTCAAGTCCTCCAGCTTCTCCGAGTGAAAAAAGATGGGCAACTTCCTCTCTTGTGATTTGCAGTCTCTGGAAACCCAGTGGAGAGCCAGTTTTAAGTCAGATCTGACAGTACTGACTGAATGATGAAACTAAAGTCCAGGAAAATGAATAGAACTCCAAATCACGGAGGTCACTAGTGGCACAGCAGAACCCAAACCTTTACGTTCCATAGCTATTCTTATTAAACCATGTTACCTATTGAAAACACATTTGGAAAAGTGTTCTACTTTGGAGGGGAGAAGGAAAACAAACAGTAACTGTAGGTACCTTTGTTGAGCAGGAACTACATACCCCTGCTTTAGAGAACTTGTATTAAATCCACAAGGCTTGCATTTAACCCAAAAGTGCTCTCATTATCATTTGCAAGTGAGGACGCTGATCTCACTAAGGTGAATGCACTTGCCCAAGTTCAATCCTCTCAGACGTGGCTGAGCACTCAAGCTTTTACCTTTACAACCTGCTACTGACTCATTCTGTCTTTGGTGGTACAAATGGTTAATTGGCTACTAAGCAAAAGGTTGGCCAGTGGACACAGAGGCATCTTAGAAAGAGGATCTGACAATTTGCTTCAATCACCCTTGAGAATCCTGTGGTGCACAGGTCTTCTCTGACACAGATGGGGTCCCCTCAGTTGGAGCTTCCTCCTTGGCTCAGTCTACTCTCAGTGGGCTCAGTTTTCAGAAAGCCACCGACTTTTAAATCCATTCAGGATTTAGAACACCTTGAGACACTTCCATTCTTGGAAGTCAGGCAGGTCTTGTTCTGAGAATAAGTGACTTTGGTGGTGTCATCCTTAGGGACCTGTACTGCTAACCCAAAAGTCAGGCTTCTCTGTTGGTTCAAGTTTCAGCTGGATTCCCAAAGGCATGTGGTTCAAATCTGCCTGCTGTTCCATCAGAGAAAGACGGGGCCTCTCCTGCTGTGTAATGTTCTGCCTCTGAAAACCAGCTGGAGGGTCAACGATGAGTGAGTCTGTTTCAACTTGAAGACACATACCAACAACAACCACCACGGGAGAAAGGTGGAAAATCCTGTCATGGAATTTGCAGCCTCAGAATCTCAATGGAGGGCCAGCCAGGAGTCAGTTCTGACTTGTAAGCGGCAATGAGTTTTTTTCTTCTAATTTTACAGCTGTGTGCTGTCATCAGATAAGATAGTTGCTTATCCATTCAGAGCCTCAGTTAATTCTTTTGCAAAAATAAGAATAACAATCCAGCTTTATAAGGCTGTTTTGAGGATTAAAGCACTAAGTAGAGGGCCTGACCCAGGGATACTTCTGAAAAATCTACTTCTAAAAAGTCAGCCATTGCAAGTCTTACACTGACACACATGGGCTCACTGGAGACTGTGTTCAGCTGTGAGACCTGAGATGATGCTCAAGCCTCAGCATCAAAGGACTTCACTCTGCCTGTAGCATTATCCTTGCAAAGAAACAGTAAGCAGCATTTTGGTGAACTTTCCAGTAGCGGCAGAAGCTGCCACCTAGTCAACCAAACTATCGACATACTCCACGTAAGGTTTCCTTGAGAAAAGAAGTCTAGAGAAGACTCATTTCCTGATTTCTTTGTAGAAAAACAATTCCAGAAGCTAACTCCAAAGACACCAGCCCTGGCATGAAATTCAGGTCTCAGAACCTCACAAACAAGGGGCCTAGCTAATGCACAGAGCAATCATGATGTGTAAGAAGTTGAACTTTCCAGTAGCAGACCTGGGTTCAAATCTATTCTCCTTACCAACCATGAGGCCTGGTACTTAAATGCCTCTGCTCAGCTTATTCTTAAGTTATTTAGAGATAACAATGGAATCAACCATGGAAGGTAAGGAGTAGATGGACCAGTCCTGTAAAGCACTTGGAAGTCCAGGTGGTACTGAATCTCTCATAAATAAAAGCCACTGATCTTAAAGAGAGCTCTGGTAGTGTGGTCTGGATTTTTTAAATCTCCTAGCCCAAAGGCTGAGCTTCTCTGGAGGTTTGAATCTGCCAATCACCTCTCAGGGAGAAAAGAGAAGTTATCTCCTCTCCTGCAATTTACAGCCTCAGAAACCCAGCTACGAGTTGGAACTGAATTTATGGTAGTGAGAGAGAGACTGATTAGCAATAAGAACTAGCAAGACTGATGATTGAATGAGATCATCTTGAACCTTGGAAGAATTTTCTATGCTCCTTACCTCCTTGTGTTCCTACTGTCTCACCTTGAAATAAACTTTCAAAGCAGCCCGTGGTTCACTACAAATGTCCCTCTCTGCAGAGGAGTGATGCTGATTCTGGCATTGCCCCAGCGGCCCCACCAACCTTCGCTCCCTCTAGCCGACCCTAGCACTGGAAAACATCTCAGCCAACTTCACAACAACACACGCTATCCCCTACTCCCTCTCTGACTGAAAACTCAACAGGCATGGCCCTCACCCTGCGTTTGAATGATGCTCTGTCACCATTTGGAAGCATGATGTGCCCTTTGTATTAAAGGTAGAGACAGAGAGACATAGATAGGAAGCTATCCATCACCATCTTCTTTTTAAGACATAGATTTATCTCATGTGGAGGTCAATTTAAATTCTGTTTCTTTCTTACCCTTTTTTGCTTTTCTTGTAAAGTTTTGCAATCTTCTCCACTGGCAGCCCGTATTTCTCAGATATCTGTAACAACAGCAGCATAGAGGCAGATGAGGGCAGAGGGCAGAGCAAGCAGTGGCAAGAGATGTGAGTTCAATTTCAGTGTCAGCGAGACTTTCTTGGAGACACAGTTCTGCGCCAATGAGGCAGATTCTCCAAACCCCTCGGTTGTGGCATGCATTGTCCTGAGGATCTCAGGGAAGGAAGCATGAATATTTTACAAACGTTCTTCAGATTCATTCAAACAATTTTAAGGTCTAAAAATTTTGGTTCATGTAAAAATATCTAAGTCCTGGGTTAGTTTGTTTGTTTTTTTTATGTTGGTTCATTGTTCATTTCTTTTAGTGTTTTTAGTATTTCCTTTCTATGGAACAGATGTAGTTGCAAAAAATTTTATTTTAGGATTTGACAGTATTTTTCTTTAAATCCTGCTGAACAACAACAACAAAAGACTATCAAGCCCCAGGTCAGTGTCTCACAAGAACGTGGTCCTTACTACACCTGCTCAGAACTGTCTGGGGGCTTGGTAACAATTGAGTAGCAGAAACTCTACATTGAAGACATTTCTGCCCATTTCAGCATTCATCCTGATCCTAGATGCTGTATCAGTGAGGCAATTTTCCAGGCCAACACATTAATTTGGACTGTCCCTAGCACTCCTGTCATTCCATTACTGTAAAATACCTGGGTCCTCTGCATCTATTGTACAGGCAAAGAAGAGGGAGAGGAGAAATTAAAAATAACATTCAAGGTGGAGTCATATTAAAAGAATAGTGGGATGTGATAGTAAAATAAATTTCCCTGAGCCTAGGTTGGACAACTGTAACACAGGGAACAGGAAAGGAAGAAGGAGGAATTTCAGGATCTTTCTTTAAAGCACTATAATTCTGCTCTATCATCTATCTATCTATCCATCTAGCATCATCATCTATCATTTTTTTCTACCAAAAGAAGCCATATTTGTATTTTGGATTACAGCCAGTGAGACACTTGTTAATTGTTTTGTTTTGTCCATATTTGGAAGTTACCATAACTGATTCGGTTTAATAAGAGGAGACCAATGAAAACTCATAGTAACCTTCCTCCTCAGCTTCTCACTCTGATTAGTCTTCAGTGGACAGGGACTTAGCAGTTTTTCAAAGTCCCTTTCTCCGTAAGATGCCAATAAGCCACAGCAGTACGGAGACCACCATCTCCACAAATCTCTCTCTCTCTTTTTACCCAGCCCCACCGACCGCCCCCTAAAGCTCATTCTGGAGCACTCTCAGCGGCTGCATTTTAATCAGCAGATTCCCGTTAAGGCGAATGAATACAGGCCAGTGTCCGGAGGTTTGCTGCTCACCGCTTCCATCAGGCCCTTCACCGTGGGAGATTTCAACATCAAAGCATCGAACACGTCGTCGGTCTCCTTCCTCACGTACAGAAGCACTGGAAGAGAAGAATGGGAAAGCTGAATGAAGGTGCTCCCACACTTCCGAGGTCACTGGGCCTGCTTCCTGTCCCAGAGGGGGTGGCACCACCCGTGGGGCCTTCGGTTGCCTGTTGGTTCAGACAACATCCTGAAGGGTGCTCGAGACACTCACACCATGACAGGAGACGATGAAGGACGTGAGTCAACGAAATAAACTGATAATTGTGTAACCCCTAATAGGCTACAAGACACTTGGACACAAACATTGCTCTTCTTGTTGTTATGTGCCAGATACAGAGACAGAATCGATTCATAGCTGACCCTCCAGCAGATTTTCAGAGACCGTAAATTACAGGGGAGAAGACTGCCTATTTTTCTCCTGAAGAGCAGTTGGTGAATTTGAACCATGTGCCTTTGGACTGGCAGTGCAACTCTTTACCACTAGGCCATGCACATGTATTAATTTCCCCAGGTGGGGACATGACCTCTTTATGTCCTCTCTTCCTATGACCTCTTTTTTCTATTTGGTAATTGTTCATTCAACAATATGGACTACACCTCAGGGACCCTATTAATGAGGCTCCTGGCACTAAGAGCTGGGGCTCCAAAGACTTAAGGCACTGGCCCTGCCCTTACAGAGTGCAAAATTCACTCAGAGCGGCAGGAACTCCACAAATAAATAAGTAGTTATAAGAGCTAGAAACAATGAGAGTGAGCTTATAGCAACTTGACCTTGTCAAGAACTGCAGGAGTATTACTTTGAAGAGAGTGCAAGCTTTGATGCAAACAGGGGAACGGGGTATGGGGAGTGGGAGCAAGAGAAGATAAGGACAGAAAGCCCAGGCGAAGGGACGGGCCTGTGCAAAGGTGGAAAGCAGGAGGGATGATGCCCCGCAGAGGAGGGCAGATGAAGAGTTGGGTGTGGCATCTCTGGGATTGAGACACTTGTTTTTTCTAAGGTCCTGGCTCTTTTACTCTCTCCTTGTCTTGTTTTCTTGGGAAATCAGGGACAATAATGCCTATGCTGTGGGGTTGCTATGAGGGTAACAGGAATTCATGTGCTGGTGCACAGTGAGCACCCACACAATGAGCACCCAGTACCCAATCTGTGGGAGCTCCTGTGAAGTAATTGGCATAGTTGTTGTTCTAAAAAGTCCATGAAAATCCAGCGGTCTATCATTTCTGTGTAATGTAACACTCTGAGTGAGAGACTTCACATGCAATGAGGGGTGGTAGGGACCACAGATGTCATTAGAAGCAAGCAGAGCTTCAGAGAGCCCAAGAGGTTCCTCGGGGTCCCACAGAGCGACGGCCACTGGCCGCTGTTCTGCTCATCTCTGTCCTTTGGGAGAATGTGAAGTCTCCCATTCATCTGAAATCTTCCAGTCCCAGTGTGCTAACTGCCTCTTTCTCCGCCTGTCCTTTGGTGAGATGACTCCTGCTTCTTCAGTAAGAGGAGGAAAGGGCCAAGGTTGCAATGCAGACACCTGGCCACCAGAGGAGGAGCAACACCCAGGCCAAAGAAAGCCCGTGTTGAGCCTGGTGCCTGTCAGGTGCCCACTGAGCTGCAATCACATCGATCTAAAGAAGGAAGCTGGAGCTATTTCTCTGCTTCTCAGGGGAAGGAAATCAGCTCAAGCCCAGCCTCTCCCCACCTTTCCCTCTCATCCTCAGTCCCTAAGGACTTCATTAGAATGGCTTGCTCTTCAAAGGCTGAGTCTAAGAGGTGTAGATGAGTTCTGCCTGCACTTTCTCTCTGTAAATCAGGCAATGCCCAGCTCGGTGATTGTCTTCCCCATGCTCCCCAAACTGACTGAAGTATTGCAGAACTTCTTCTCTTTACCAAATATGAAAAAATTAAACACCAATTAAATTAATAGATTGACTATCTCCCAAGATTTTCAAATTTAAACCTTCAGAGGGAATATTTTATATCTTCATTTCAGCAAAAATGATCCAGTGACCTAATGGGGCCTTCTAGGAGGACTCAATATTAGCTGTTCAGAGAGAACTAATTAGAGCACAGGACCTCAATTACATTCAGATGAGAGAAATGAAAGGCAATAAAAATGTAAAAGAAGAAATCCAATCAGAAGCTGTTAGCAGTGAACTTCCTCCGCTGCTTGCAGCAGGAAAATGCCATTTCCAGCACGATGACCCTCTGGACCTCCCAAACTATGTTTTATTAAAATGAGTGCTGCTCCTCCTGGATTTACAAATCTTTTCTTTGAAAAATCATTGTGACAGAGTATCACTGTTGTCCTAGTCTCAGAGGCTTCCTTTTGGAAAGGGTTGAGAGTGGCACGATGGAGAGGCTGGTGGGTACCCAGGCAGAGCGGCACACTGTGCTCCTGCTGGGCTTGCTGATGGTGCCACATGGGTGTGCTGTCAGGTGACGGGCCCAGAGGCAGCTTTCATTAGCTCTATATCAGTGCCGCACATTATTAGTACCTTCTTGACCAACCGTGGCTATAGTGGCCATCACGCATCACAGACATTGCACAACCAAAAGCTATCAACTACATGGGGCAGCCCCCAAAGAGTCCAGACTAAGCCATGCCCAGAAGGGGCCACAAGACCAAAACTAACAGATAACAAAAGGCATGAGTGATCATGCTAATGGTGCCCATCACTGGAGAACTTCTAACAAACGAGCAGCAGGAGGGAGCCTCGCTGAGCATGACTCCTTAGAGCCCTCAAACACCAGCTGTGAGGAGGGGCCCAGGTAGGCCCGCTGCTCTAATCTAAAGCAAACAGACACACTTGGCAAAGTTTTCTCTATTGCTCACAGATTACAGCGTCCTCATGTGTCTCTATAATTTAGACATTTCAAAGGTCACAACTGAACAAAATAGAAATTGCACGGCAATTTTTGTGCTGGCTTTAAGACCTCACATCATTTCACAGACATCTGAACATAACCAGGGCCAAGCCTCCAGGACATAAGGGCAATGGTTACTTTGAGCTGTGTGATTCTTGATTTCCTTCTAACTCTGTCCATTCAAAGAGTAAAGTCAGGAAGACTTGAAGGAAAAAAGTTCCTGGTATAGACTGGTGAGCACATCCAGTGCTGCTTCTGTTAGTTGAAACACATCAATCGCTATCCCCTCAATTCCTGAGGCCCAATTTTTTTTTCTTTTGCCAATGCCTTCAGTGTATCTTCAACTTCTTCCTTCTTTACCGTTGGCTCCTATTCATACGGTACTTCCTGAAATTTTTCAGTGTCAGTCAATTCTTTTGGGTACAGTGACTCTGTGTGTTCCTCCATCTTCTTTTGCAGCTTCCTGGGTCGTTCAATATATTACCCATGTTGTTGTTGTTGTGTACCACAGAGTCACAATCGATCCACAGCTGACCCTCTGGTGGGTTTTTAGAGGCAATTAGCCACATGGGAGGAGATTCCCACAGAAAAACTGGTGGCCTCAAACTGTTGTGTCGTCAGGGTTGCAGTGCAACTTCTTACCAACCATATCATCCTTCAATATTGTGAGTGAAAGCTTGAGAAATGCAGAGAAAGTTCTTCCCATTTTATTCTCCAATTACAGCTCTCTGCACATACTTTGCTTTGTGTCCTCAAGCTGCCCTTGAAAATCTTCTGTTTGGCCTTTTTACTTCGATGTGTTTTCCATTAGGCATGAAGTAGTAGTCAAGAAAAGCATACTACCTTGGCTAAATCTACTGCAAAAGCCTTCCCTCTTTAAAGTATCAAAAGTAAAAGTGACACTTGGAGACAGGAGATGCACCTGATTCAAACCTCAGATGCATTCAAAACCTAGACAATGAAAAAAGAAGACAGAAAAAGTACTGATGCATTTTAATCTGGCTAACCAATACCATGCTGTGGGCTGCACAACCAGAGTTCTTGCGAATTACAGTTTTGGCAAAGAATATTGCATGTATCCTGGACAGTCAGAAGGATAAACAAATCTGTTTTGGAAGAAGTACAGCAGGAATGCTCCTAGAACGTGAGGATGTAAAGACTTCTTCTTGTGAACTTTGGACATCGCTTCAGACGGGGCAAAGCCCTTGAGGAAGGACATCATACTTGGGAAAGTAGAGAAGGGTGAGTGGAAAACTGGAAAGTCCTCAAGGAGACAGAGTGACACAGTAGTAATGACAATGGATTCAAACAGGACAATGACATCGAGGATGGTACAGGACCATTGTTCCATGTATTGTGCAGAGTCCCTACAAGCAGGAAATCACTTGATGTCACCTAACAGCAACTCAAAGGTCAGGCCTTGCTCTGCTTTTGCTGTTTTTAAAGTAAATAAGTTGTTGGGTGTGAGAGACACCTCCGTGTTAAAGCAGTAGATAGTACTAACACTTTGCTCTGGGTCTCTTCTCACTTCTTGTGCTTCTCTTTGTGGACAGAAAGGGCAGTAACCATTTCAAAAGAGGTCCTGGTGGCACAGTTTTGAGTACTCATCTGTTCACTCAAAGGTCAGTGGTTCAAATCTACCACAGTCTCTGTGGGACATGGTAACCTGTTTCCACATAGACTACAGATGAGGAAGTCCTGTAAGCAGTTCTACCCTGAGTACTGGTGTGGGGTCACAATGACTCAGAATTGGTGCAACCGAATAAAACAACAAACATTCTAATTGAGAAGGCACTTTCCTGGTTGTCTTCAGTCAGAACTTGATGCTGGCAATGAACTCATGCCTTCAAACCATATTCAGAAGAATGTACCAAGTTAAACATGGTGAATCTGGACATCTGAGGGATGGTGTTGAGAAAAGAAATCATTTCTCTCTATCTTGAAAGGACTGACCCCATCAGATGGTTATACTGGTTCTCCAAATTCTGAAACATGTTACCATAATTGGTACTGCTATATCATCAAGGCATATAGAACATCAAAGGAACTGTTGTGCCTCCAACCAAAAGGCAGAAGAGAGATGGGCAATCTCCTCTTTGGTTTCTATTATCTCTGAAAACCTACTAATGGGGCAACTATCAATCAGTTCCAACTTGAGGACATTAAGTTGTTGCTGATAGCATCAAACATTCAGCCTCTTCTGTCTCTCCTTTAACCTCCCTATGTTGTTATGAGGAGAGAATAATACTGAGAGACAGCACCTCTCTGTGAACTCACTGCTCCATTAGGGAAATATTAAGTCCAGAAAAAAGGGGCCAAAAAGCAGAATGAAACAATCAGAATTCAAATGCCGATAGCCTTGCCTACTGCTGATAAGAAGAGCAAATGGCCTTGCCTGTCCAGCTGGGCTAGCAGGTGGATTGTAAATTAGAGTGGAATGTCCCTCCCTAAAGACTCTTATAAAAACTCTCCCCAATAAGTTGACAGTGTTACTTCTCCATTCTGTATCCCCAGAATGAGGAACTTCACCCGGGAGCTCCCCTTCCCCCTCCCCCCTTTAATAAAGCTGCATTAAGCTTTCTCTCATTCTTTCTGATTTCTTCCTTAAGTCCGCTAACTTAGCAGAAAAGTACTGAGCTGCATGGTGTTCCTTCAAACTCAGCAAGTCTACTCAGTCCTGCCCGCAGTGCTCTTTTCCCTTTCCGTATACATACTCCATACTTTTCCTTCAATTATTGTTCTTATAATCTGCCTCTCTCACTAGAGTAATAAACTCCATGGGAGCAGAGCTCTCCCTCTGTCTTGCTCACTTTTCTATTCTCAGGGCTTAGAAAAATGCCTGACACAGATCAGTATGCATTCACTGACTATGTGAACAAACGCCGGAGTGAATGAAGTCACTTTTACCCTAGGGGTGGGGCCCGTCTGAACCACAGGGGCCCAGGCTGGGCTGCAGATTTGTCTTGGTCAATGGTTGAGGCCGTCTGGCCACACAGAAAGTGAGGCTTCAACACCAGCCATGCTGAGGGAGTATCCCCAGGATGACATACCTCGCTTCATCCCTTCTCCTTTAATCTGTTTAGGAGGTGTCGGACCAAACTCTTCTTCCATTGGCCTGAACATCCGTTTGACAAGAACACTGCTGCTGGAAAAAATAAGCAGAAGTTGGTAAGTAAAGGATACAAGGTGTTACTTGTGCACATGTCGGCACCCATAATTTTCTCTTGGACCCGCTGACCCGCTTCCTTCTCCCCCACCTTCCTTTTCAAGTCGCCCCTAGCTGAGGTAGAACACACAAACACAGATACCTCTGCACATGCACATAAGGCACGAGTTCAATAAAGGTGAGACTTCTACATTTAACTACTCCATCTTGTACCATCCCGCCTTTACTGATCGTGATCAGGGTTGTAGGTAGGAAGAGTGAGCTCTGAGTGAGTCTGTCATCTTAAAGTCACACTAGGCTGAAACATGCAGCTGAAACCTGGGTGCCCTGACCACCCGTTGCCAGTATCCTTACTCAGGACTCAGAAGGAATTCTAAAAGTCACAGTCCTATTGGCTGGTGTTCTGTTGGAAGGATATCCTGAGTTCCTGCTGTTCCACCTCTGCTTTGGCTGGAGTAGATGAGATTATAATGGTGGGTGTGCCATAGAGACCAAGACCGAGGATGGCCAGGCCTTCCCTTCCACTACAGGAACTATTCCACGCTCCTTCTGGAAGCCCTGGTTTCTAGTGCCCCTGAATGCCTCCATCTAAGCCAATGCAGACCGCTCTTCATTACCTTCCAAAGTCCTCGCGTTTTCTAAAGCTATTTAAGAAATTAGATGGCGGCTCAAGAGGAAAAGAAGTAGCAAGAGTAACTTGTCATTGATAGAAGTTATTGATTTAAAAACAAAACAAAAAGACACTCTTGAACTGATTTCTATTATTTTTCAAAATCTCAAGAGAGTAAGTAGATGCAAATTTTTGGAATCCTTTAATCTCTTTGACTTCTGAGCAACCAGACACATGAAGCCATTCCAGAGAGCCAATTCTGCAAGCTGTTAAGATCATCTCGGTAGTGGTGTTAGCTGGCTGGCACTGAGTTACATGTAACTCATGGCAGTTCCACACACAGTGAGATTGGACCTCAGTGATCTATAGAATTTTCATGAGCTGATTTTTCAGAAATGGACTGAGAGGCAATTCTTCTTAGTGATGCATTGGTTAATCATTCAGGTGCTAACTGAAAGGTCTGTGGTTTGAACTCATCAATCACTTCACAGAAAAAAACATAGCCATTTGCTCCTGTAAAACCTTACAGTCGGGCCTGATGGAGGCCGGTATAACACCTAGGACTGAGGTCCTTTGTCATCCTGAAAGCGTGGAAATGAACTCACCCACCCCTGTGTCACAGCCCTCAGCCAAATAATAGACTGATCCAGAAAGTGAACAGTAAGACCAGGGAGCTCCTCAGCACTCGCCGCATGTAACCACACAGGATCGCCAAGGCAGTCTGTATCTAAGGATACAGCTCAGAATACAGGAAGGGAGGAGAGGAAGGAATAAATGGAAACAAGAGCCCCAGAGAGATAGTGGGGAGAGGGACAGCACAGGGTGGGGCTGTAATCAGCGCCATAAAACAGCACATGCCTGAATGTTCTAATGAATTACTTTCACTCAAATCATTATCAAAGTTTTTAAAAAGACATTTTTTAAAAGTACAACCTATGCAAACTTACAGAGCAGTTGTATTCTGTCCTAAGTGTCAGAATTGGATCAATAGAAAGAGGTTTGATGTGTTTGGTGTTTTCTTCTCTTAATCTAGAAGTTCCACTGAAATCTAGTCAGCTCCATGGCAGCATTCAAGTCTTCACTATCTTGATTTACATCCTTGCTTTATAGCTGACTAATTGTAGAAACTTAGTAAATTCTCTAACTTCCCTGAGCCTCAGTCTCCTAATGTTTAAAATAAGATTGTTTGGAGAATTGAGTGAGTTAACATAAAACCACTCACAAGGTCACTTTCTACACTATAAGCATCATTTTAATTGTTAGGTAACAATGATAATAATAGTTATTTGCAGAGATTTGAACAAGAGACATATGGGAAAGATTAAATAAGGCAAACATTTTGAAAGTGATCAGAGTCTCCATTTATCACCTAACAAATTTCATTTATTAAGTGATTTGTGCAAGAACATGAAGTTTGTTAGTAGATGAAGCTGTTTAGGGAACTGTTTTGAAAGAACACCCTTAAGAAAAGCACTTCAATAACTCTGAAATGATGATGAATAAAAGTTGTTGTTTGCAGTCAAGTCGAGCACAACTCATAGTGAACCGATGAACAAAATACCTGAAGCCTTTCTATGACTACTGTCATTTCTCAAAGTTCATAGGAAAAGATAAGAGGTAAAATATTAAGAGTTAACATTCTCTTATTTTGTACCTTCAGAAGTCAAACCATAGAAGCAATGTGAGAAAGAATCCAAACTTGAGTCCCAGCTAAATAAAGGTGGTAATGAACTTTCATGGCACTCTCCTCTCTGCCTTGCCCTTAGTATTTTGTCATAAAAGCAAGTCATGTCATTCTGTCATGTTCTTGGAACTGGGGTAGCCATGACATCAAGACTAAATGATAAGAAAACCCACTCACAGAGCTGTCAGTGGTCAACAGCTTAATAGTGTGTAAACAGCCTGACAAGTCACCAGCCATTCCCATGCTGGGCGAGGGTTCTCAAAGCAGCCGTTTTCTTGTGCTCACAAAGTACAAGATTTATTTATATATTTTCCAGTTCTGCTGGGTTCTGATGGCACCTTGTTCTGAGTCTTGGCACACTTTGTCATTAAAATGACATCTTGAATAAACCGACATTTCTCTTGGGAGTTCAAAATGCTTTTTCACACTTCGTATCTGTGAGTTTAAAATAGGAGTCCAGAAGTTGGAATAGAACGAATTCAGGTACCCATCTATTTTTCAAAGCAAGGCAAGAAAGCAGAGAGAGGGATGGTTGCCTGTTCTGTAAACGAAACGAGCACATCTTTCTAGTCTCCTGATGCCTTCTGTAAGGACTAGAGAGCAAAGCAGAGGCATTTTCTTGCTGAAAGACTCCACTATCCCACTGGCACAAAAGAGTGGTTATATATAAAGTGGCTTCAGGTCTGGTGGCACTTTAAGCCATTGCCTTGTGGCATCCATGTCAGAGAAAGGTATAAATAAAGGAGTGTTAATTTTCATGTAGTAAAAGAAGATTGGGAAGTCTTCAGGTTTGAAGCAGGAGGCTCTCATTGTAGTTGGCAATGTGGTGCCCTGCCTGGAAGACTGAAATGCACTAGCGCATGGGTACCAAGTGAGGAGTTGCTTTATAATAACATTTTTTAAAGTGTAGAAAGAAGTTCAGGCACCATGGAGACAGATTTGTCCATTTTACGTCTCTGCTTATGACCTATATGTGTTAACACCATATACACCCCAAATAAGTTGCAGCTCCTTCCCTATATTAGCCTCAAAAAAGAGGACAGAATCTTCTGTTAAAGTCCTTAGAATGTCTGTTGCACTATGGAGTAGGCCCTATGCTACGTCCTTTTTAACAACCAATTATCCATTGACCCAAAATTACTTTATTAAATGCTAATCTGGGGTGCTTATTCAGAAACTGCTCAGCATTTCTTTTGTGTGTGTGGATTTCCATTCATTCATTGTTACACTTTTCTCCCCGCCCACCCCACCCCCAACCCCAGTTCGCTCTTCTTTAAAAGCAAAAGCAAAACTCCTTTATTGGTATACAATCCACCCATCCCCCCCCGCACCCTCCCAACCTCACCCTGAGTACATTCCACTCTGCAACCCCTCATTCCAAACTCTTATGATGCCCTAAAATATATTATTTTTAAACTGTTCTCTCCCTTATCAGCTTCAATGCAGTATACATAATTTATCCATTTTTTTAAGGTGAAGGAACTGAAGAACAAATTCAAACCTAGAGATGCAATACTTAAGGATGCTTTGCGCAGAATATTAAATGATACAGGAAGCTTTAAAAGAAGATGGAAAGAGTATACAGAGTTATTGTAAAAGAGGAATTGGCAGACACAGAAGAATTTCATGAAACAATGTATGAGCAAGAGCCTCTAGTGATGAAGGAAGATGTAGAAGTTGCTCTGAAAGAATTGGCAAAAAACAAGGCCCCAGGAATTGATGGCATACCGATTGACATATTTCAACAAAAAGATGCTGGCCTAAATGTGCTCACTAGTTGTGCCAAGAAATCTGGAGGACAACCACCCTCCCAACTGACTGAAAAAGATATTTATTTGTTCCCGTTCCAAAGAAAGGTAATCCAACAAAGTGTGGAAATTATTGAGTAGTATCATTGATATCACCTGCAAGCAAGATTCCACTGATGATTATTCAAACAGCGCATCAATAGAGAATTGCCTGAGGTGCAGGCTGGGTTTAGAAAAGGCCGTGGCATTAAGGATATTACAGCTAGTGTCAGATGGATCTTGGCTGAAAGCAGAGAATACCAGAAGAATGTCTATCTGTGTTTCATTGATTATGCAAAGGCATTTGACTGTGTGGATCATAACAAACTGTGGCTGACTCTGAAAAGAATGGGAATCAAGAACACTTGACTGTACTTATATGAAACCTATACTTCGACCAGGAGGCATTTGTTAGAACAGAGCAAGTAAACACTGCATGGTTAGGAGGCTGGGCTATATGAGGAGAAATGTGGCATCAGGATTGGAGGAAGATCCATCAACAGTCTGCGTTATGCAGATGACACAACCCTGCTTGCTGAAACTGACGCAGACCTGAAGCACTTGCTGCATAAGGTCAAGGACTGCAGCCTTCAGTATAGATTGAAGCTCAACATCAAGAAAACAAAGATTCTCACCACTGAGCTGATTGGCAGCATCATGATAGATGATGATGAGATTGAGATTATTAACAGTTTCAATTTGCTTGGCTCTACAATCAACACTCTTGGTACCAGCAGCCAGTAAAAGATTAATTGTCTTGAGAAAATCTGCCGTCAGAGACCTTTCCAAAGCTCTAAAGAGAAACGATGTCAGTCTGGAGACTAAGATGAGCCTGATGCGGGCCATGGTCTTTGCAATTACTTGCTATGCATTAGAAAACTAGAGATGATAGAAGGAG